TGCTTCTCAAACTAGGTATTATATCATTAGACACAGAGTTTCTTATCCAGCACACCACAGTGCCATTACATCTCCCCCAAGTGCAATAAGGTCATCAGTTTCAGCAAGTACCTGAATGGTGCGATCAACGAAACCAAATTTGTTTTTGGTCTTTAGCGCTGCCCCCATAGATTCACTCTACAGCAGATAGTTGTCGTTAGTGAGCTTGAAACTGATTACCGAAAGAAATTAGTTGTCACTCGGAGAAAGATAATAGTGATTGTTGTAAGGATCTTCAAATCGAGACCCTGATCTTCCGCCAATGTCATTTCCATCTTTCTTTTGAACCCAGAAAGCTAAGAAAGAAAAATCGGAAGAATGGAAGATATCAAAGCCAGCCAGGTTCTGTTACCATGAGAAATTCTATAAACAGACAAAGCTCTGCAGAAGGAATAAAGGGTTTTGTAGAGGTATGAGCTAACTAGGGTTTTTGGGAATGCGACTTAATGTCCTTCTCATTCATCAGCAGCAGCAATTTCTACTCTGTATATTTTTAACCTAGGTAAAAAGAAGAGATGAATTCTAGCTAAGAACACTATACAAAAACGACTAATTTAATGGTAACTATATAAACAAGGAAAAAATCCCAAAATACACATATTTTTAAAAAAAATTCCCAAAATACACACGTTATAAAAAATTTTCCTAAAATACACATGTTTGGACATCACCGCTGTTGTCAACCGCAGCGAATGCATTCACCGTGGCAGACCAAAGCGGTGAATGCCTGACGTAACACTGAAACTTCAAACAAACGTAACTTTGCGCTCGGTTATCCGATTGTAGCGATTTTTTTTATTCCACATAAATTTTCAAGATCTTTCAATTTGAAAAAAAAAACTTCATCCCAAAAAAAAATCATTTGCTACCCCGAACGAGCAATTTTTCGATTTTGACAAAGTTTGGAAGATCATAACTTTATACTCCACAATCCGAATGTCATGAAACTTTTTTTGATTTTGCATAACTTTTGAAGCACTACAACTTTGATTATAACCATAATTTTGGAAAGTATGTGGATTTGTGAAAAGTAAAGGCAAAGTTATTCCCAAAATCCCGTATACCCAAAAACACTTCTTTTTTAAAAAATTATTTCCTAGTCAAAGCTGTAGTTCTTAAAAAGTTATGTGCAATAAAAAAACTTTACGACGTTCGGATTGAGGAGCTAAAAGTTATGTCCTTCCAAAGTTTGGCAAAATCGAAAAATTGCTCGTTCGGGGTAACAAACGACTTTTTTTAGATGAAGTCTTGTTGCAGATTGAAAGATCTTGAAAAGTTATATGGAATCAAAAAAAATTTCGCTACAATCGGATAACCGAGCGCAAAGTTACGTTTGTTTGAAGTTTCAGAGTTAAGTCGTGCATTCACCGCGACTGTCAACCGCGGTGATGCATTCACCGCTTTGGTCTTAAGAGATCTTTGGAATGGCAAGTGCCTCTTCCTTTGAAAGTGCACCACAATCCCCGTCCGAGTTCTTATCACGATTCCCAACACCTTTAAGAGGGTCGAAGATGTCTGAACTGACATCACCTTCCTCTTCTCCATCCTCAAACTCATTACCTGGACCTGACAGCCCATCTTCCATCTCATCCAGATCATGAAAGACACCTTCATCAGCTGGTAGTTGTGATAACTATAGCTGCTTGCGTGGAAGTCGTACTTGGGTTGGTACCGGTAGCCTTCTTGTTGGTTGTCAAGGTACCGTTGGGCTTCTTCTTCATGTGATGGGAAGGATTGATGATGACCTCTACCTCCTTTTGGGTACTCATGGTAGGAATGATGATCAAGGTAACCTTGGTAGGATGATCTTCATAGACTCCACCCCCACCATGGATACCAGATGTTTGGCCATCTCCAAAATGAACTCCACTGCCTTCTACCTCCTAGGTGTAAACAAACATCTCTGCTTTGGAAATGTTATAAAAAATTCGAGCATGGCATCAATTTCCTCCTGAGTGGTTATCAGCAATTCCTCATGCTAGAACGACCCGCCTTATCCGTTTGGATATCGATACACAATACGATCAACTCTTCTCGTGCCCACCATGCAAGTAACCACAATACACATTTGATGGAGATCTTCAAGGTTCGGTCACGTAGAGACTTTCAATTTCTGAAAACAACCACCGACCTAATGTACCCCCTTTCATGTCTCTTCCGTATAACCACTCCACCATAACCCAAGCGTGAACTTTTGGAATGACATCTGCAATAAAACCGTAACTAAATTAATACCAGAAAATTTGTAAAAGACATACACAAGAATACTTTTTGAATGATAAGCATTTCAAAATCACAAATCACAAGAAAAAAGTAATACAAAACAAACTTCCGAAGAACGTTAATCGCTAAAATAAATAAAATAAAATAAAAAAGCAAAACATAATTGATAAGAAGAATAAGGAGAAGGATGAAGAGCTGAGGTTTTCGGGGTTGTCTTTTATAGAAAAATTGTCAATTGATAACCTCTAGGGTGGAGGTTTTCAATTGACATGCAAACCCCATGTCTGCAACCCCCTGCATGCAGACATGCCAGTTGTCGGGGAGATGGGGACAACATACAAACCTCCACCCCCATCGGTTTGTGTGTCAGCAAATCAAACCATTGGGGATGATGGCGGTTCGTATAACCGTCGGGTCTACCTGCGGTCTATGTTAGGTCGACCGACAAACCGCCTTTTAGACATGCGGTTTGTGGCGGGCATGAGGACTGCCTCCTTAGCCGACGATTTACTTTGGAAACTGTTGCCAATGGCGGAGGCAGCATTTCAAACCACCCTTGTCCTTTTTCATAATTTAAATATATAAGTATCTAATAAAAGAATTATTTAATAAAAATAATAAAAAATAATTATATTTGAATAATTCATTCATAAATTAAAAATAATTGATTATACAATCATACTTTTCAGAAACAACTAGGAAGGAATTTCATATAGTGAAAGAAACGCAAAAACATTCGTTGTCTACACTATTATATAAGTCTCTTTCAATGTATCTTACTAAATAAGTATTAGCAAACTGGTCACCAAATCGACTTGGAAACTTGTTCTTAATATAACTCAAAGTTGAAAATACTCTTTTTACACTTGCAGTTGTAATTGGTAGATCAAAACTAGTGGGATTGTCATTGTCGCTAGACAATTTCATGGTTGTTGGGGAAAAGATCGAATAGGCATAAGAAGAAAAGAGACCCGATTAGGTCTTTATTGCAATTGGAATTTCGTTTATAGTATAATAAATTAATTTTATGTTAAATTTGGACAAGTAATGAGTTGTGTTATAGAGACAAAGTACTCTAATATACACCTATAGGTGTTGTGTTCCTTGGCATATTTTTGTTCCATCGAAATTTACCCGTCCCGGGATAAGGCCCAAAGGGCCTGCCTCCACCACTGACTGCAACCCTATGTATCGATTTTCGTGAAAGGGTAGTATGAATGGGATTTTTCTGAATACGGTGGTATTTTTTAATTATTTTTTTGTTTAATAGTAGTATTTCTAGAAAATTTTATACGGTGTGCTATTTTAACCAAACATTGATATTGTTGTGAGTTAAATATTAATTTAAACGAAACTCATTAACAAATTTCAACATTGTTCAATAAACCAATATATTTCATATACTGAACCCTAAAGTCTAAATGTTATCTAGTAAGTAACTCGTATTCGGTTTGCGATATTTATGTGATATGTGTGTTTAGCATACATAAATTTAAGATATGATACACAATAATACAAATATATGCAATAGATATTTAGCCACATATACAGAGTCCCAAACCACATTGAATGGTAAGATATGTAGTATAACTAACCTACGAGTTACATCACTAATAATAAGTCATTAAGTTGAAAGGTGTGTAATCTAACCAACCCACGAGGTATATGACTAATAGTAGGCTAGTTTAGGAGCTATATAATCAGAATCTAATCGAATTGGTCTGCACATATACAATTAAGTTTACTTATAAACTTAAATTGAATTAAGCTTCAAGCCACGAACGTATTGAAGTTGTACATATCTGACACCACTTTGTTTCATCACTTGAATGTTCGTGGAGTTAGTTATTCTAAGTTTTGTTTTAAACTAAATATGAGTTCTGAATTATTTGTGTCATGTACACCTTTTAATTTGTGGTTGTGATATGACTATTGGATGGAAATGTTGATCTAGCCATAACTAGTAACTAATGTACTTTACCAATTATGATTAATTATATGGCAAGTTTGCAAGTCATACGATTTCCATAACTCAATCATCTAAAAGAATACAAAGTTAATTCAGCACTTAGACAAATTTGATTAATTTTTATAAGTATTATACAACGAGAGAAGAACTTTCTAAAATTATGAAAAAAATATTTAAAATTAGTGCTATAAATAATGTGTGAGTTGTAAATGCGCTAACCCACACTATGAAGTGGTCGGCGCTACATAAGCCGACGCACTATACCCGACTAGTCTGGTGACCGGATTTTATGGTAGCCAAAAGTTTTAGCGACCCATTTTCTAATTTTTCCTACCACTTTTTATGGTCGTCGAAATTTGTTTTTCTTGTAGTGTATTTTACTCAATTACTTTGCCAATGAAGTTGCAGGAGAAGTGTGGTTAAAATGGGGGTTTTATTTATTTTTTATTAAGGGGATAATATGGGGGTTTTATTAATCCACCTATTATGCCTTTGAGTGCACTCACATTTAATCATTAAACTTTTTTTCATAAAAAAATGAAGAGTCATGCAATTACCAGATTTCCTTCATAAAATTTGGGGAAAAGATTCTTCATACAACCGTAGGAAACAAAAATATATGGATGCCCCTGCACTGCATGTATACATGAGTTCTATCCGGAGCAGTAGCTAGCTAGCTACAAAATTTTAATAACATAGCATTCTGGAAACCAATTCTCTCTCTCTCTCTCTCTCTCTCTCTCTCTCTCTCTCTCTCTCTGGTGGATCATCACAGTGCTGCAGTAGTGCCTTTGACGCAAAGCCATTGGCCGACGAAGAAATAGTAACAGTTGATGCCTGGGTTCATAGCTTTGAACGAACTCAAAGAGATGTGGTGCGCAGCTGCAACCGAGGCGCAGTTATCCCCTTGCTGAGCTCCGTATCCTTTTTGGCACGTCAATCTACATCCGCATTCTGCTCCAACGCACCAAGCTAATTAAGGTTCAATTTGTTAATTAGCATCGAATAATCAATTTCTCATTCGAGAAGCAGCAAACTGAAAAGCATAACGCTGCTGCATGTAATTATAGTTTAGGGTTTACTCTGAGGGTCAATGCTTTCAGCTGCGGAAATGAGGAGGACTAGTAGACTGAAAAGCAATTTCACGTTAATGGCGGCGGCAGATTTCTTGGAGGAGTTAGCCATTGTTCTCCAATAAGTCTGGTTTTTTTGTTTTGCTGACGATCGAAGAAGGAATCGTAACTCAGTAATTGGGAATTTGTACTTCTGATTTGATTTTGCTGTGGTATAAGCTCTTGATGGCTAAACCTTGGGTATTTATATCCATTTTGATCTTATTATTGGTCCCCAGCTTTAATGATTGTCGCACTAAATTGTGATTTTAAGCATTGTTATGGATAAGATACACAAGAGCATTTTCCCTATCCTACTACCAAGCCTCCTAAAGAACAAAAAACAAAAATGCCCTCTTCATAAAAGAAAAAATTGCTGACTCTTGGTCTCTTCCGTAACTTGGATGCTCAACTGTATCGTGCCCTCTAAAACAATATTCAATTTGTTAATTACCATCAATTTTCATTAGCAAAGAAGTGGTTGAAACATATCTATTTGAATGTGGTGACCTGAAATCAATTCTCGAACATTTACGTCATGATGTTGCATCTAGCGCTAGATATACTACTCTACTTCACTTTCTACTTTTAGGAATACTAGGTAGCGATTCTGCGTGTTGTCGCGGGCGGAGATGACCTATTGGCATATATTATGTGGCCCGTTATAATGTTTTGTTAGTTTTATTAGCCTACAATTATTTTTTGGTTAACAGTTTTGTTAGTAATATTGACTTGACAATATGGGATTGACTGAGAAGATATATATGACGGTAAACATTCAATTTAAAAAATTTTAAAATTTTTGGTTAATAAATTATATTTACATAAACTCAAGTACACCCATTGATTATGGATAGGGTATGACTGACGTATATATAGGTTTAGAAGTTGCGGATATGTTTGGGTAGGGTATGGATATTTACTTTCAACATCCATGTATAATTGTTGAAAATTATAGTCAAAGAAAAACTCTAGAGAGAAGCAAAAGGAATACAAACTGGAACTCGTTTGAAATTTCACGCCTTCAAATCCATAGTGGAAAATGACACCTTTCAAATAAGTACTAACCATATATATTTATTTTTAATTAGACTCGACAGTACATTGAGATGAAAAAGTTAGTGGTTCGTGGTTCAATTCTTAATTCTCTAGACTTTTGGTGAGTCGTGTATGGACCCGTTCATACTTGTGATTAAAATACATACAAATGGTACACTAATTAGGGTTATGAAATGCGAGTGAAAAATAAAACGAAGAGGAAGTAGACGATGGAATGGTTTTGACCAATTCTTTTAGTTGGCCGTCAATACAATAGTCAACCCTTTTCACCGTAGCAATTTTATTGACACTTGCTTATGTAGATGTCGAATATTTTGTTACATGTAGTTAGTAGAAGTTTGTTTAGTATCCCGTAATTGTACTAAATGAGTTTATAAATTCACTCTTGCAATATTTTAGAGCCGTTTCTCTTTTATCATTTATTTAATGTTTCACGTAATGAGTAAATATAAAATGGTTAAATATTCTCTCACAGTTGAGTGATACAACATCTTGTATGGTACAAACTAAATTTATACTTTTATGTTATGGTGGATTGGATTCATGGGTTGGTTCAAAAGGATTGGTGGATCCGGATTCATGGATTCAAGTGGAATCTAAACATTGTACAAATATGTAAATTTAAAAAATTGTAGTTAAGGAAATCTCATAAAATTTAGATACCAAAACATAATTGTTCAATAATTTTACACTAAAATTAAATTTATGGTATCAAAATGTAAAATTTACATTATAATGACTAAGTTATAATTTAATAAAATTTGAGGTATCAAAATATAATTTTTTTAGGCAACAGTAACTAAGCTGCAGCTTTATATATAAGAATATACAAGCCAAAACGATAAACCCGACTATAATTAGGGGTCGTTTGGATAGATTATTTACATGAGTTATTTCGGTTCAAATAATTCGTTACGAGGTATTTGCGCCAAAATAACTCGTTTGGCTTCAATTTTTTCCAACGCGTCATTTGTGCCTGCGTTATTTGAGAATAATGCGAAAACGCGTTATAACAAATAACACGGGGTATGGTGGTATTCTGAAATAACGCACTCATCCTCTTTTTCGATCCTTTCTGCCCCTGTCCTCCCTCCTCTCTCCTTCCTTCTTTCATTTTTCCTTCGCCCCTTTGATTCTTCGCTCCTGAGCCAAAATCGATTGATGTTGGTCATCAATTTTATTCAAGAGCTGAGATGATTGCAATTGGTTTTCATGGACACTGGTTAATGGAATTGATTACAATTTGTATGATCACCATTTGTAGAGTTGGGGATGATCTGTATGTCTCCTCTCCACCCAATTTTATGCAGGTTTTGGTGCTTGTTTTTAATGGTTTGTTATTGATTTAGTGAGGTATGATGATGTTTTGCTGCTAGTTGAAGATTGGGATGGGAGTGATGGCTGTTGGTTTGGTGGTTCGATGATATTTCAGTGATGCTTTGCTGTCGATTGTAAGCAATATTGTGACCTTATTGCTACTGAAATTGGCAGGACAAAGAAATTGAAAGCATACATTTGGAGAGGGCATTGACATGAGGGCATTATGGTATTTTACACCAAATACCACGTGTGAAATAACCCATTGTCTTGATTCATCCAAACAAAACATTTAACTTTCAATTTTCTCAAATAATACATAAACACCAAAAGTTCAAAATTTGAGTTATTTTTATCTATAAATACCACAAATTCAAAATTATTTTTATCTACAAATACCACATTGCAAAAGCACTCATCCAAACGACCCCTTAGGTTTTTCTTCTTCGACAACAAAACTATCGTGACATTAGTATATATAAACTAAACTCAGTTTATTGTTCCCTAAGAGATTTACTAATCTACATTACTGTTATCAAACAATATATTATGGAGTTTCTCCTCAGTCACCCCCTTAATCTTACTTTTCCCGGCTCCGGCGCATACCACGGAATGGGGCTTTTGTCATTTCAATTTCACTTATTAAAGGACGAGTGGGCTTGGCTACTTATTTCCAGCTTGCTAACTAATAATTAGTCAGTATATGGGCTACAATTCACCATATCCATGCATTTTAGGTTATGGATTATTATATTACTCACACCTAACTCTTATTACTTATTAGACATTTAGTCCATTAAATGAGACACTTGCAAAGTGCATGTACAATTTTCATAATCGGATCGGATGGTGAACCGGAAAAGTTAATGGTTCATGCTTGAATGGTTAACTAGTATAGAATTGTTGGTTAACCGTTGATAGAATCGTTCATGCGCTATAATATACAAGACATATATATGCTACTTCTATGATGACTGCCATTGTCGTTTTTTTTACTTTCACCAACAAGTTCTTATTCAAATGTGTTGATGTCTTACTAAATTTAGTTTATTTTTTTCCTACTCACTATCCAGCTGCAATTGCCTTCGTACTAACAGGGGTTAAGTAAAATAAAAATGATGCATATGATCCGCTCAAAATTAAAGATGTATTTATTCAATATCTACAACAAATTTTCACCAAATCATAGCTAATTTTTAAAAATATTTTTATTATAATAAGGGATAGAGAGAGTGTAATGGGTGACTCCATAGGACGAAAAATAAGTAAATTAGTATAATAGTTAATAGAGAATAAAATTTAGGGCACTTCTAACTGATAATTGTTGACCGAGAGATAATGTGTTCGAATCTTGGCGCTCCAATTTTTTAAGCACATGATATTCAAATTTGCGGAAACTTTAAGCATGTATAAGTTGGTTTTGGTTAATAGGTAAGTGTTAGTAAATAGTTAATACTAAATACGATCAAATATATTATTAATACTAAATACTAACTGGTAAGTGTTAGTAAATATTTAATTTATCATTTTTTTTTAAATACAAAATTATATCATGAATGGTTTAAAAAGCTAACAGGTTATTATGTGTTGGTAGTAGAAATTAAAATATTTCAGTTCACGTATATTCATGGTTGCGGGAGGATTAAATTGTATTTAAGTGCTACAATTTTTCAATCTTTGCTTTTATATTTACCTTAGTTTTAGGGTAAATAAAGCCTATTAGTCTAACCTTTCAAACTTTTCAAATTATTACAAAATATTAGTCAAATCTTTTGTAATGCATTAAAATATTAGTCATTTGTCTATTATCGTTCGTAATTTTGTAACTATTTTCTTAGTCAAAATAATAAAATTTTGGATTGTTGACCGACACATGCCTCTAAGTTAGTATCATGTTGTCAAATCAATATTATTAACAAAATTATTAACATAATTTGACTAATAATTTGAAATGTTTGAATAATAAATTTTATTTACCCTTAATTTAACTACCAATTTAATACACATGATTATATATGCCAAGATTCTTATTTTAGAAAAAAACTAATCTCTGTTTCTTTAATCCCACACTTAAGAATCAAAATTTAGATTATTACACATTTAGTTGGTTAATATGATATCCATTGTGGAAAAAAAAAATGTTTCACTATTGTTATAATTGGAAAATAGTTAATATGCAATCCAAATTGATATATAATCTCACAACTTAAAAGAGGAGTTGGATTCTTCATAAGGTTTTGAGGAAGTGGCTGGCAATCAATCCCAAGAAATGTATTATTCTTTCGCTCGGTATGATAGTTATCGACTTAAAGTGTAAACTAACAACAACCATGCGAATTCAACTCTATGATTCGATTTTTAAATTTTTTTAATATTCATACTTTTTTCTTCAAGATAATGATATTTGGGAGCAAATTATCAAAGGGAAAATCAAGTACTTTCGTCCCCTATTACATGACTACAAAGTTTA